ATATGATTCTGTTTTCTTCAAGGTTGTGTCTTCCTGGTCGAATGTACTTATTGTAAGTCGCTTTGGATAAAAGCGTCGGCTAAATGCAATGTAATGTAATGTAATTGGAAATGGGGGACCCTGATGTAAACAAGACGAAAGTCTTTCTCTGGTCTGCATCCCCTTAACAATTGTATGTTTTGAGCTGTGGGGAGTGGAGGTCCGTAGTTGAAGATCCGGAGGATGTCGGAGAGAGCAGGCTGAAGCCGGGGTTCGGAGATTCGCAGCGGAACACGGGTGAGATAAACCGGGGAATCAGAGTTGAATAGAGTGAGCAGGCTGGAGCTGGTAGTGAAGATAATCCGAGGTTCGCTGACGAGGTGGTGTTGGCTGGACGTGGCAGGCAGAGTAGTAGACGGATTCTGGGCAGAGAAATACAGGTTTAAGAATATAACTTTGACTTGGAAACTAGGTTAGCTTTCTAGCAATCAATACGTGTTACCAGTGTATCTTTGACGACGAACTGGTGAATACTGGAGGAGGAAGTCGGGTATATAAGCAGGTGTGGGTGAGTAGATGTATCAGGAAGATGAGTAGCAGCTGCGGAGGTGAATTTACGGGAACTGAAAATAGGTCAGCCACGCCCAGCCAGGAAGACATACAGATACAAACATGAAACAAAAAGAGAAGCAGAAGGAGGGAAAACTGCACATCCTTACAATAACGGTGCACAGCTGATAGAAAGGGATTTTGTTGTAGTTTTTAAAGATATTATTTACTACCTTTCCAACTCCTCGTGCTGTTGACTGTTACAGGTCTATACAGGTTCATGGTACAATGCATAAGCTTCAAATCGAGAGACGGAAACTGTATTTTCCTTTACCGTTCTGTTTTAATTTCACAATAAAGCTAATAGTTAAATTTATGTTTGATATTATTATGTTTTATTAACTACACCACTGGTTTTTTAACCACCTCCTAGTGGTTAAAGCACGTTATTGAATGTTGTTCTTGAATAAGTTTTATTTGATGAAAACATTTAAATATTAAGAGTAGCCTACATACAAAATTGGGGGAAAGTAGAAGGCATGATAGAAATATAGAATAGAAAATATCAAGAAGATATTGTTGTGATCTCTAAAAATAAAACAGTTTAGTGCAGGACGTCCAAAGATATTAACAGGAGGATGTGCAAAACAGACAAACTAATAAGGCTTTATTTGAACATTAAAGAATACTTTAAGTTAAGGTCTTCTTTTGAATAAGAAAAAAACCTTGGGGTTATCCACAGATAAATATGAAGTCTGACAAAGTACTTAACGTCCAATATATTGCATAGTGGAGCCGCCCAATTCCAGTTTTGGAAAGTCTGCTGTGGTTCCATTCCATTTCATTGGGCTGTGACGCTCAGCGTAACCTTGTTGCACTGCCACTCCAACATCCAATCACAGGGCTTGATGACTAATCACGGGGTTTGTAAAGCAAGGCGGATATTGTAGTCCCAAATGATAGCTGGGGATTCTGGATAGTGTAGTGTCTTCGGAAACTGTAGTGTCTTAACTCCGAAAAAACAATTTGTTTCTCTGAATCGAAGGTTAAAAACACAAAAGCATTGTACGAAATTTAAACCAATCACTATTGTGTAATTAACAAGGATAAACTGATGTTTTTTAGTGGATGAGTAATGCAGATATCACTGTGTAACCATTTGACAGTGAGGGGAATATATCCGGTTTTATTATGAAAACTTCAAGACCGGAAAAACTGTTTTCACCCACGCTAACTTTCCATGGAAGCTGCCGCATACACGTTATCCTGGCGAGACCTCAAATCATCTTCGTAATATCTATCAAACTATAGATCCTACACATCGACTGGACGTGGATTCTAAGAGTACCATATACACTTCTCGCCAGAAATCGAATCAAAAATAATTGTAATGGCCAAACTATTCCACAATTTAGGATTTTCCAGAGTGGGTTATTTGTGAATAAACGTCCCTCCGGAGCGTTTGCAATGAACGGGCCGGGAGCATGTTGTTTCTTACACGACCACTAGAGCACCTCTAGTGGTCGTGTAAGAAACAACATACACTTTAAAACGTGTCTCTGGGTCGTAATAAGAGCATGAACGTTTTTTGTAGGAGGACAGGCTGTTACAAATTCAAAATGAGTAATTGAAAGTATAATAGGGCAGAGAAAAAAACACTGTTTCTGTTCATTTTTGGCACAAAGTACAGTATGGCTGTAAAGATGTTGATAATTCTTAGTAATCTGAGACAAATCAATAAATAAAATCCAGAACTGTATAAATATCAATGATTGAAATCAGGTACATGCACTATAACAAGTTGTGTGTGATGCAACTAAAACATGACGTAAAGCCTTCCCAACATAAGGTGAATAACAAATATATATATATTGGTCTCTTCATGATTTTACTTAAGGCATGATAATGAAATATATGAAAAATGTGATTGGGCGGGCTACATATAGGAGGTCTGGCTGACATTATGTAACTTTTAGTGCTCATGGATTCTTCTGGTAACAATAGATTAGGTATTTTCTTTTAAATCCTTTTATTAATCACATGCGTTAAGTTCTGTCAAGTCTTGGGTCTCAAATCTTGTCAGTCCACTCTTCTCGACATTTCCTCTCTGTGATGTAGTACCGCGACTGTGCGTCATGATTTACGAATGTATCCTTGTGTGAGCTATTCCACCAATTCATCCCAGGAAATAAATGAACATGAGACACACTGATCTTCAATTTCTAGAATGATCCCATTACTAGTGGTGCTCACTGAGCAAGGGACAGGTTTAATTAACTTTCCAAGTGGCTCCCAGGTAAGAGAGAACACATCTTACACACGTTTCCTGTCCCTCTTCTGTTTATGAGACCACTCAATCCTCAGACATCACACACACACACACACACACACACACAAATGAGCACAAAATGAATATGTGACACAATCCCTAACAAAAGCCGGTTAAACATAATATCAGGTTTGCTGAAAAAAAATTCCAAACCTAAAATGGCCAATTCATTTTATATCCTTCTTCACTACATACATTCATTGTTTTCATTGAAATGTTTTAATTCACTCAAAAAGTGTGTGTGCTCTGCATGTGTGACCATTGCAGAGGGGTTTCATCCCTCCGATTCTATTCTATTCTATTCATATCATTGCTCTCAACAAGGTCGAATTCTTACTGTGTACGCCATTCAGTAGAAAGATTGTTACCCTTGGTGCAGTGATTCACTTTTTACATCTGTTTTTCAGTGTAAGCCCTATGGCTGATATCAGAATAGTCGTCCTTCAGATATTATCGCTTAAGAAAATAACATGGTTTATTACCTTTACATACAGTATTAGTTGTGCTTTGAATGTGGTAAAAGACCTATGCACATAAGGGTTCAGTTAGTTATATGAACTCAGAGGGAGGATATGATATATATTATATTACAGTTACTCATAGCTACAAATGGAGAAAAAGCTACAGTATAATGGCCCGCAGAGGTTTCTTGAAGCAAGCTCAAGCAATGCCACTTAAAAATTAATTAAAAGTATTTGAAAAATCACACAGAGAAGCTAATTGCCTCATTAAGCTGGGTATTACATACAGTTCAAAAGGCTCTTTTACAGTGTAACATTGAACCAAAGGCAACTTAAAGAGCCTTCTTACAAGGCAGAGAATTGATTTATGACTGTATTGGACGATTGCCTGTTTGGGAGTTTAAAAATGTGCAGCCCAAGGAGTTGGAAAAAGAAAAAGAGGAGATCTGATGGAAGCAGGGTTGTGCTTCCACAATAAATTCTTAAAACTGATAGCCTAGAGGTTGTCAAAGTCAAAATTACAGAACTCTGTCAAGGGCAGAAACTTAAGAGTGATGGCTTAGCACCAAGTTTGTTCTTCTGCTAGAGTGGATTGAATTATTATGTTCCGTTAAAGTTTAATGGGATTTCAGCAGCCTTAATATAAAAAGGGGGACTGCAAGATGAGCCACGGTGCTTTACTCCTTCCTTTATAGTTTTCTGCTCTCTGTACCAACTGAGACAGGATTACAAGGCAGGTCGCTGCCAAATAAACAGCTGAGTGGACACAATGTTTCTCGGTTCAGTTTTGATTCACTGGCTGAGGTTTAAATCATGTTGCAAATCACTCCCAGGCAGACATAAGCACACCTTTTAACGCAATAGCATCGCTGCCATGAGCAAAGACATTAGCACTGCTTTTCCCCATGAGGTTTAATTTAAAAGTAGTTAGTCCACATATTGTGATGAAAAATCACTAAAAACACAAACTGTTGAAAGTGCACCTAACATAATGGCCTGCATCACCTCAATATGTTCATGTATGATTACATTTATTTTCCCCCTGAGCCTTTTAAAAATGAAAAATTGAAATGTTTTGATGAGTCACTTTTCCTCAGTGGGTTAAAGGCAGTTTATAGAAAACATTTTGATCCTAGATAAACACCTGCTGAATGTCTTAGTAGTTGATAGGTGTTCATTTTTATGAAACAGGAACACTCGTGTGGTAGACCTTATCAAACATGTTCAATGGATAAACTATTTCTAATTTTACTTGTATAATTTGCTTCAACAACATTTGAAAGCCACAATGTGCAGACTCAGATACTATGAACAACTAATGTTAAAGCCTGGATGTCTTTAAAGCTGGGATGTTTATGGATGCCAAAGTATTGGATGAGGATAATTATCTAATGATACCCTATGGAGTTTTCCTTGAAAACAACAATGCATGTTTCTCACCATTTTAGATGCATTTTCAATGCTTTAGAGTCTGCATTTTTTGCACTGCCATGATATTGTTTTTCACCTCAAGCATATCCCCACCTTGCTTTTTTGTCTGGCCTTACTCATGATGTGATTCATTAACATTCAGAGGCAGGCAATCACAATTAAACCCATGCTGTACTTGAGAAATTGCAAGAGTTGTTGTCTCACACTTGAATTGTGAACAGAATACACACGAGCATGGAGAAGCATACTATCCAATGTTTTAAATGGTCTTATTGTCTCAAAACACAAACAATCTTTAAGACATGTTGTACAATGTAATTACAGAGTGTGTCACTGACATTTAATAGCATTAAATAGAAAATGACACCAACACAATACATTTGACATCAATACATATATCAATAATATATATAGTTATATTTGCTATTTTTTCTTCCAGTATGCAGAGAAAAGTCTCATTCAGCACAGACAGACTAATACAACATCTAGCTGTTAACTACTGCAAAGCATGCAGCAACACGTACATACAATAAATACGGCTGAAAACAACTTGCAGCACCCTCAGGAGTGCACTTATCTTCAGCCCTGCTTCCATTATTTATGCATTCACCTGTAAAATGGGTATACAGTAGGACGTTTGTTAAGCAGAAGGCAAAAACTAAAATGTTCAATAAAAGTCACAAGCCAACATTGTCCATCAACTAAACGCTAACTGCTTTTCAAAAGCTGTAATATGCAAATTGATATACCACATGGATCAACAATGCAACAGCTATTCTATCATAACATACTATACCATTCCTGGCTGTGTGCCAGAGCCTACAGTATGTGGATGAATTGCCTGTCTGGTTCACTTGAATGAAATACCTTTATTCACTGATATAGCCCATTTAAAAGCAGTATAAGTATAGAGTAGGTGTGGAACTTGTCCTCAAAAGATATATATAGCAAGTGTCAAAAAGGAAATGATCCCATACAACTTCATTCTCCTTTTACTTGTGTTCATATTGCAGGGCAGTGAGTTTGCATTTGAGTTGTAGATGAAGCTGCGACCCTATGATTTACAATCGTATTTCAAGACACATCTCACAGAAAACCTCCTGCTGAATTCAGTGTGACCCGTACACTCTGCTGTTTACAGTGTCACTGGCATACAAATGGAATCTAGCAACAAAAGGTGGAAATTACTGAAAAACCCTACAAAGAAACATTCAAAGGTAAGCCACTTTGTTATGTTTGTGGGGACACATTTATAATATTATTGGACTGGCACAATGGAAATTAAATAATAGCGAGAGGATGACAGGCTGTCTTCACAATGAGCCAGTGAAAACTGCGCTCCTTTTCAGCATCAATATGGTTGTAATTATGTAAATCCAGCTTGTATCTTCATTGTGTTGCCTCTTCCCTTGACCCCCTGGTGATATTACAATTATCTTTTTAATTTGTTCAATACATTTCAATACAACAAATAAATAAAGTACCATGTTGTTGGTTGCAAAATGCACATGAGCATTAAAAACATCTATCTATAACATGGCAATGGCTACACCAGAGTCAAAGCGCCCCTTCATCTGAGTGATTCGAGCAGCTAGCAGGAGCAGCAGGCCAGTGGCCACCTCCAGGCTGTAGGAGAGCCAGGCTGTTGCTAAGGACCAGCCGAAGGACACGTTCACATGGGCGAGGTTCTCTGGAGAAACCATCCGCTGGAACTCCTCCATGGCCAGGTTTGAGTATTTGATGTAGATGCAGACCCCAGAGAGTGTACAAATACCTATGAGTGCACAGAGACAAACAGATGGAACCATTAGTAAAACGCTGCTCAATTAATCATATTTTAATCGCAATTATTTTTTTCAATAAATGGATGTTTTCAAAGTAAACGGATAATCGTTTTTAATAATCGTGATATCAATTATTGACCCAAATAATCGAGATTATGATTTTTGCCATAATCGAGCAGCCCTAGTAAAACCTCACAGATTTTAACTCACCTGTAACATGGAAATGGATCAATCTTGAGTAATGATGATGAAGAGTGACCCTTAAACTGCCTCGTCAATCACCATAATCCTCATGATGTATTCAACCTCAGATATTCTACAATGGTGTACTTTAGGTCAGTGGTTCTCAAATGGGGGTACGCGGACCCCTAGTGGTACGTTGGAGTACTGCAGGGGGTAGGCCTACGTGAGATTTATGTTATGTTAATGAGAAAGAAAAAAACACAAGTAATGCATTTAAACAAACTACTAATAGTAGATTAACTACTTTATTCAAAGGTTTACAGTAATTCTGGACAATAAAATGGGAAAAATAAACGGGGCGCTCTCTTTTCCTCTCCCTCTCCTGACAGCCCGTCAGTCTCGTGCAGCTCGCTGAACCTGTAATAAGTGACCCAACAGTAAATAATAAATATATTTATAACTAGTTTAGCTAGTTCCAGAGTAGATAAACTAGCTAAGTGTGTTAGGTCTAACTGTGTATTTAATGTTGCTCCACTCAACGGTCCGTTACAGCTGCGGAGCTGTGATCATGCAGAGCTGCGTGTTCTCCGTCAGCAGCAGCTGATCTGATCTCTGATCTCTCTCTCCCGTCCGGTTATACTTCACTAGCGTTTAAGTCCAAATCCAGGGCCGTTTCTTCCTATATGCGGACTATGCGGTTGCATAGGGCCCCGGCGGCCACTAGGGGGCCCGAGCTGAAAGTTCAGATTCAGCCGCGGCACGTCAGTAGAATAGCGAGCGTAATGGGATAATCATGGCTTCAAAACGGACATATCCCTCTGGTTCAGAAAAAAGAAGAAAGCTGAAGAAGAAAAACGCTCACATGATGAGAATAAGGGTAAGGCATTTGTTCATGGTGTAAATTCACTTGTGGGGTGGAGGGAGTAGCTATAATGTTAGCCAATGTTTGAGCAAGTTTGCTACTTTTGAGCAAGTCATGCTTGCTGCGCTAGCCTCAGCTAGCTCCGCTATCTCCGTTAGCTTCAGCTTAATTGATAAGAGCTAGTTGGCTAGGATTGTTTGTATTTTGTAGGCGAATAAACCCACTTTAATACAGTGTTTGCTTTACGAAAAGGCTCAAATAAAATTGTCATGCAAAATGGACTGTGCTATGGGAGTGACACCTGCTGTGTTGGAGTATAGCAGGCTAAGTCAAAATCACTCCCAGTCTGTTTTTCAAGAGAGGAAAACTCATCTCTTTCGACTCCACTTCGAGCAATACAATTGCTAACAAAGCACTTCTATACTAATAAAGGACTGGCTTACCTAAAGCCAGTTGAGTAGCACTTGAAATGTTTGGCTCTATGAAACCTGATGTACTTATATGATTCTGTTTTCTTCAAGGTTGTGTCTTCTTGGTCGAACGCACTTATTGTAAGTTGCTTTGGATAAAAGCCTCAGCTAAATGTAATGTAATGGAAAATATATAATATGTATCTATTGTTGGGGTTGTTGAGGTTAAGTTATGGAACAAAGCCAATGTACATTTAAAAATGTACCTTTTTTTTGGTTTTCAAGAAATTGTTTGTATTGCTTTTTTGGGGGATACAAATGTGAATAATGTATTTGTTTTGTTTTCGATTTAATAATAAGAATATAGGATATTCATATATAAGCTTTTTGCCAAAGCCTTTCCAGTCACTAATTACTGTTGTATAAGTTTACATTGTGATATGTTTATAATTAATGTTTGTATGATGACTGTTTAAAAATAAACAACAACAAAGTTTGCTTGCTAATTTAAGGAGTGTTGTCTTTGCAGGGACAATTCTCAAGTGCTTTGTGCAAGCAGAGCCAGATGCTGCAGGTCCATCCTCCTCATCCTCCTCATCACCTCCTGAGCCACAAGCAGGTCCATCCTCCTCATCACCTCCTGAGCCACATGCAGGTCCATCCTCCTCATCACCTGCTGAGCCACATGTAGGTCCATCCTCCTCATCACCTGCTGAGCCACAAGCAGGTCCATCCTCCTCATCACCTCCTGAGCCACATGCAGGTCCATCCTCCTCATCACGTCCTGAGCCACATGCAGGTCCATCCTCCTCATCACCTGCTGAGCCACATGTAGGTCCATCCTCCTCATCACCTGCTGAGCCACATGCAGGTCCATCCTACTCATCCTCCTCATCATCCTCATCCTCCTCATCACCTCCTGAGCCACATGCAGGTCCATCCTCCTCATCCTCCTCATCACCTCCTGAGCCACATGCAGGTCCATCCTCCTCATCCTCCTCATCCTCCTCATCACCTCCTGAGCCACATGCAGGTCCATCCTCCTCATCCTTCTCATCACCTCCTGAGCCACATGCAGGTCCATCCTCCTCATCCTCCTCATCACCTCCTGAGCCACATGCAGGTCCATCCTCCTCATCACCTCCTGAGCCACAAGCAGGTCCATCCTCCTCATCCTCCTCATCACCTCCTGAGCCACAAGCAGGTCCATCCTCCTCATCCTCCTCATCACGTCCTGAGCCACATACAGGTCCATCCTCCTCATCCTCCTCATCACCTCCTGAGCCACATGCAGGTCCATCCTCCTCATCCTCCTCATCACCTCCTGAGCCACATGCAGGTCCATCCTCCCCATCACCTCCTGAGCCACATGCAGGTCCATCCTCCTTATCCTCCTCATCCTCCTCATCACCTCCTGAGCCACATGCAGGTCCATCCTTCTCATCACCTCCTGAGCCACAAGCAGGTCCATCCTCCTCATCCTCCTCATCACCTCCTGAGCCACAAGCAGGTCCATCCTCCTCATCCTCCTCATCACGTCCTGAGCCACATGCAGGTCCATCCTCCTCATCACGTCCTGAGCCACATGCAGGTCCATCCTCCTCATCACGTCCTGAGCCACATGCAGGTCCATCCTCCTCATCACCTCCTGAGCCACATGCAGGTCCATACTCCTCATCCTCCTCATCACCTCCTGAGCCACATGTAGGTCCATCCTCCTCATCGCCTCCTGAGCCACATGCAGGTCCATCCTCCTCATCCTCCTCATCACCTCCTGAGCCACATGTAGGTCCATCCTCCTCATCACCTCCTGAGCCACATGTAGGTCCATCCTCCTCATCACCTCCTGAGCCACAAGCAGGTCCATCCTTCTCATCGCCTCCTGAGCCACATGCAGGTCCATCCTCCTCATCCTCCTCATCCTCCTCATCACCTCCTGAGCCACAAGCAGGTCCATCCTTCTCATCACCTCCTGAGCCACAAGCAGGTCCATCCTCCTCATCCTCCTCATCCTCCTCATCTTCCTCATCACCTCCTGAGCCACAAGCAGGTCCATCCTTCTCATCGCCTCCTGAGCCACATGCAGGTCCATCCTCCTCATCCTCCTCATCCTCCTCATCACCTCCTGAGCCACAAGCAGGTCCATCCTTCTCATCACCTCCTGAGCCACATGCCACAGGTACATTTGCTCCTCCTGCAGACTTACAAGCAGAGCAGCCAGCTTTTGGTCCACCAATAGATCCAGCTGATTGGCCATCAGTTCTACCCGATTCCTTTAGGACCGATTTAGTAGGTAGAGGGCCTTTTCAGGTTGATAAACAATTCACTTTTCCAAGAGAAGATGGTAGGAGCTTTCACCATCATTATTTCCACAGAACATTAGTGAATGGGGAAAAGATAAAGCGGACCTGGCTTATCTACTCAAGAAAAAACGATGCCCTTTACTGCTTTTGCTGCAAGTTATGTTCAAGGAAGGACTACAAATTAATGACAGAGGGACTATCAAACTGGAGCAGCATAGGCATGCTTCTGAAAAGTCACGAAAGTAGTCCAGAGCACACAACCCTCATGGCAACCTGGAAAGATTTTGAACAGCGTCTACAAACCGGAAAGACCATAGACCAAGCTGAAAGGACACTTTTAGAGGCTGAGAAGAGGCGCTGGAGAGATGTCCTAACCCGCCTGATCTCTATAATGCAATCTTTGGCTGAGAGAAATCTTGCATTGAGAGGTTCAGCGAACACATTACACCAGCAACATAATGGAAACTTCTTAAAAGAGGTGGAGCTTCTAGCTAAATTTGATCCTGTCATGAAGCAGCACATTGAGCGTGTGGAGAGTGGCCAGTTCAGTCATTCCAGCTATCTTGGAAATCTGATCCAAAATGAACTGATTGCTTCAATCAGTGGGAAAATGTTGGACACAATGGTGACTGAGATTAAACAGTCCAAATATTATTCAATCATTTTGGATTGTACCCCTGACGTAAGCCACCAAGAGCAGATGTCAGTCATCATAAGGACTGTCATCATAAGGATTGTCATAATGGACGAAGCGCCCACAATCAAGGAACACTTTCTAGGATTTCTTGTGGCTTCCGAAACAACAGGTCTTGGTTTGTCATCTTTGATTTTGAACAGGCTTAAGGAGCTTAATATTCCATTTGATGATTGCAGAGGTCAATCATACGATAATGGTGCTAACATGAAGGGGAGGAACAGAGGGGTTCAAGCAAGGCTGCTCCAGAAAAATCCACGTGCACTTTATGTTCCATGTGTGTCACATTCATTGAACTTGGTGGTGGCTGATGCAGCAAAAGCGTCGACAGATGCCATCAGCTACTTTGGTAATGTACAGAAACTGTACACCCTTTTCTCAGCAGCCCCACAAAGATGGGCAATCCTAAAGGAACATCTGACTATTGCACTTAAGTCTTGGAGTGACACACGGTGGGAGAGCCGTGTCAACAGCATAGAGGCAGTGCTGTACCAGGCCCCTAACATAAGGGAGGCATTGTTGGAGGTCAGGGACAAAG